GGCCTGAGCGCCCCCGCCACGCGCCGGCCCGGGCTCTGCCAGCCTCCGCCCTGGATCCCGATCCTGCCTTGACGCTCCATCTCCGATCTCCAGCCCCTGGCGCGCGCGCACACACACACACACACTCACACGCACACGCACGCACGTGGGCGCGGGTGTGAGAGCGCCCGGCACCCTCTGCCCCTGCCAGGGAGGGAGGGCCCCTTCCTTCCCGCTTTCTGTTCCCGGGTCCCACTCCCTCCGGGCCCCATGCTCCCAGGAGGTCACCTGAGGCGCCCCCTCCCCCCAGTGCCTCAGCGCCAGAGGGCCCTTGGGCCCCCAGTGCCCCCTCGTCTCCCCTCTGGCCGGGCATCTGGGTCCTGGTCCCCAACAGAGCGCCCTGGCGGCAGGTAGAGGACCACCCGCTGGGTCTGGAGCCGGCCACCTGCGCCCAGCCCAGCCGGGTCTTGGCTCTGCTTTCCCACTAAGGAAGGTCGGGTGTTGTTCATCCTCCTCTCAGCATTTGAGCCAGGCTTTACTACTTTAAACCAAATGGGTGTTTGACGTGTGAAACAATATCCCTAGCCACTCCCTTGTGAACTGGAAGCCCCTGATTCTCCTGGACTTCAGAAGAGACCTGGCCAGGACTTGGTAGGCAGGGGACCTGTGGGAGAAGCTGGGTGCTAGGACTGAGGAGCTGAATCCTGCCTGGGACAAAGGAGGACCAAGGTGACCTTGGGGCGGCTTTGGCATCAGCTGGGGGCCTCAGCCCAGTTGCTACCAAGGCAAGACACCTCAGGAGAGTATGGAGGAGGAGAATAACCCAGGCCCTGTGTGGAAAGGCCTAGGGGCAGGAAAACTGTGTCTGTTCTGCTCATTTCTGTGTGCCTGGTGCCTGGCCTGCTTTGGGTGGCTGGTGAATACTACAGAGTCAACACATAATCCAGTGGCTACACCATTCATCAGGTATGGGATGTCAGGTGCAGGTGGATACGAAGACTCAAAGGAAGAAGGCAGGATTCTGCCTATACCTGAAGTTGCCAGGGAGCCAAGTTTCAGGAGCAGAATTAGAGCCAACAAGAGCCCCTGATCCAGCTGAGCACGGTCTGTGCAAGGCTGCATGCTGGGTAGTAGAGTTTGGAAGTCATCTCTTCCCTGAAGAAGATGGAAGTCAGTGAATAAATCATACAGAAAGGTAGGCCAGGGTCTGGATGGTCGTGGGGGCCTAGGGATCATTACCAGGATCATCAAATCAGAATCATTGTGCCACATCTTGTTTGCCACTCCACATTTGTGTTAAAGATGCTTGGAAGGAGACTTTGAAGAGCCCCTACCTTCACTGATGTAGCCAGTAAGAGGAGAGTTTGAGTTTAATGGAGTAGCATGAGCTACTTGGGAGGCTGAGATCTGGAGGATCATGGTTCACAGCCACTATGGGCAGAAAAACCCATAAGACTCTTGAATTAACCAGGGGTGGGGGGCAGGGAGAGACAGAGCACAGCTTAAGTGCTGGAGAGCCAGCTAAGTGAGCAAGCCATTCAGTCATGGGGCCCGGAGTTCAAACCTCAGCAGTGACCAAGAAGAAAGAAAAAGGCAACTTTGATACACATACATTTAAAGAGCTGCCCAATCCACATCCCTCCCATTTGACATGAGAATGTATTTATACGATCCTTGAGGTAGCTTGTGTCTTCCTCAGACAACTCTCTGAACTGAGAAGCGTTCAAAACTCTTCTGTGTAGAAAGCTGCTACACACAGTCACTTCATCCTCACCTGCTTTAGGAAACAGATGCGGAGTTTCTTGGTGGCAAGCAACAGATGCTTCAACCTAAACATAGAGCCGGGGTGGGGGTGGGGGATGGGAGGGGGAATGAAAAATCATGGGGAAGACCAGGCTCCGGGCCCTTGCACACTCAGAGTGAAAACAGTGCCATCAGCGCTGGGTTCTTCCAGCCCTCTCTGCTCTGTCTTGCCTTGTATTGACTTGCCTCAGGCTCCCGTGAGTTTGAAGGTGGCTGCACAGCATTCCAGCTTTATGTCCTCTCAGGTTCACATCTGGAAAGACAGCCTGGTGTCTTGATCCCAACCCTACCAGCAAAAGTGTCTCCTGAACATCATTGTTCAACACTTTCAACACTGAACCCATCACTACGGTCAGAAAATTGGAAGGGATGGATGGCCTGAGCTGGACCCATCAACGCCCAGAGCGCTGACTGAGAATGGGAGAAGAATAAGCCCATAGAGGGCTGATTCTTCAGAGGAGGGAAACTATTTGAAGGGGAGGTGACAACTTTCTATGCCCCAAGCATGCAGACTGAAGACAAGTAGATGCCCCCATACACACACTTTCTTGTCCAAATCCGGGGACTTTTAATAAGTAAAGGAGAATTATCCTGCATGTTCCATAGTAAGACTGCCTGATTTCCTGATTTCTCCCTAGGTCAATAAGAACTTTCAGGACTGACTTGAGGCAAAGTTGTAATGTCATCTCCTGTGCTCATCTTCAACTGCCGTGTCTCTTCCCTGGTCCCTTTTGTGCCCTGTCATTTGCCCTAATGATCTTTTTCCACTTACGCAAGTTCTGCAGTGGAGGGAAGGCTCAAGTCTCACTCGTTATATAAACTTGGTGTGTTGTACTAGTGCATGCTCACTCTCTCTGTCTCTCTCCCTCTCCACTCTCCTTTTTCCTACCTTCCATCGTCTCTCTTGATGATGCCAGGTCTCTCGTGAAGGGCAGTCTTATCTCTGTCCCCCAGAGAAAGGACTGCAGGTGGCATCTTCCCTGCTCAAATCACACAAAGCAATCAGCCACCCCCCAAGTGTCTAGACACAGCTGGCTCCAGCAGCTGTCCAGCTGTGAACACACACGGTGCAGGTAAGGCTCTGTGGCTAGACCAGCAGATAAATGAGTCCACACGGGAGTGGAGAAGCAAAGGCAGGGTAGATAAATTCTCCTAGCAAACTCGTAGGCCCAGTGAGCATAAAACTCTGAAGAAATGCAGGTTCCCAGGAGAAGAGGGCTGGATTAGAGTTTCCAGGAGCCTTAGAAATACTATATCATAAGAAATAAAATGAAAACTCTCATTCTAGATGTGGTGGGCACAGGGCTGCCAAAGCGTGAGAATGATCTTTGAAAAATCACTCCTGAAATAGGCAGCCACTGAGCTCAGTTTCCCACAATGCTTTCATAGCTCCATACCTTTTTCAAAGTGCTCATATTTCATACTGAGCAAGAGGCATGCCAAGAAAATCAACTTTTTTTCTCTGTAGTCATACCTATGTTACATTTAATTTGTGTGTGTTTGTGTGTGTATGCCTGCTAGCACTCGTGTGCATGTGTTTTGTTCTTAGGGCTTGAACAAACTCAGGGCTTGGGCACTGTCCCTGTGCATTTGTGCGCCAGGCTAGTGCTCTACCACTGAAGCCACCGCTTCTGGATTTTTGGTACTCAGTTGGAGATGAGTCTTACAGGCTTTCTTGCCCTAGCTGGCTTTGAACCTCAGTCCTCAGATCGAAGCCTCCTAAGTAGCTAGGATTACAGGAGTGAGCCAGGAGTGCCCAGCTACACTTAATTTTTTTTCTTTTTTTTTTTTTAAACTCTAGGCCTGGACGCTGTCCCTCAGCTCTTCACCTCAAGGCTAGCACTCTACCACTTGAGCCACAGCACTACTTACAGCTTTTTCTGCTTATGTGGTGCTGAGGAATCAAAGCCAGGGCCTCATGCATGCAAGGCAAGCACTCTACCACTGAGCCACCTTCCCAGCCCCTACATTTAATTTTTAAAGCCCCTGACAGATTGTCCAGCCTGATGATCCCAGATGGACACTCAGGCTGTTTCCCTAAGCCACATGACCTTCAGAGAATGCAAATGTAGAACATCTCCTCATCATCTCATTTACAAAACCACAGTTTGTATCTGAGTGATACCTACCTTGCTGCTCTAAGAGAATGTTCTGTCAATGAGCAGCCAACACTGTGGATCTTTTGTATGGGGACCCACATCTCCCACCTTTCTATTGGGGTTACCAGAGGTCCTTGAGCTACCAAGGATCCAAGAGGAATTTCAGAGATGCCATCAGGTTCATCCTGGTCTATAAATCCCTTCCACACTGATCTTAACAAAAATCTGTCCACTTGAAACCTCCAAGGATTAGGAATTTATTCCGTGTTCATCACATTTCTAGAAAGATCTACTGATGGAGTAGAAGCAGGCTTGCCTGTGGCCTGCTCCAGGGGTCTGAATTGAGCTTTGGGAATAGACTGAATGTTGTGTAGAAATTCTTCTACATGGCAACCTCGTAATAGATCAAAACTACAAGTAGATCACAATAAATACAGAGAGAGAGAGAGACAGGGGCAGAAGCACAAAGAGACTCTTCTCTTTCCCAACTTGAGTATTCTGTTCTTTCACTTACATCCCTTGAGTGATCTTTAGCCAACCCTCAAGAACAGAGCTATAACCTTGACAATGAAGTTCATAAGACCAAATTCCACATGATAAAATGTAATTTTACTACTTCCAAGAAAGAGGCAAAACAGATGTCATGTCATCAAAGAGGAAAATTATAAATTAATAAAGTCCTCAAGAAAAATGCCATTTCCTGGGAAAGTTTAAGCTAGGAACTCTT